CACTATAGCAGTGGGAATCGCCAGGAGATGATATGTTAACCCTCTCCCGTTCCATCACTCCCCTTCCTCACCCCACACAGACCAGCCCCTCCATCAGGATGTGAAGATCAGGTGCACTCTCTCCTGAATTTTCCCGGTGCCCTGACCAGCAATCCTCCAGATGAATTGCACATTCACCTCATGACTGTTTGTGAGACTTTTGCTAACACAAAGTCCAGAAAAGCAGTCTCACTTGACAGTAATTACCTGTGAAACGCTTTGAGACATTTGGATGGGATAAGGTGCTCGAAGAATGCAAGTCCTTTCTTCCTTATCACTCTGGGGTTTGATGCTTGTCAGCTAGAAATCTAGGTTTAGGTTTCCTGATCTGCCTGTTATTGAGTTGGCGGCTGTCTGGTTTCACAGCAGTCAGTGCTTCCGCGCTGCTGTCAACTTCTGTATGGTTCTGGACAAGGACCACTGGGTTCTTCCAGTCAGGTTTGTTCACATCGTATTCAGTGGACACAGATTTTCGGTCTGCTAACGTATGAGGTTGAAGGCTGCAAGCTAGAACAAGAATTGATCCAGGAATGTTTACCATTTCACGGCCAGTGGAGTTCTCCGAAATGTCAGTGCTGATGCTTCACGACTTCTCCCAGAATCTTTCAAGAAATCTCGCTTCGTACCCAGTGCTGTGATATCGCATGAATGGAATTTTTTTTGTGAGAAACGTCATGTTGTAAGAGAGGAGAGAGAGGCTGTGAAAACTCTTGAAGCTGGAGTCTTTCCTGCTCAGTATTCCTTCCCAACATCACTGAGAAGCTGCCAAGCCTGGACTCCAAACACAATTTTTATGGAAAGGTGCTGCAGCAAAATAGCAAAAGACCCGGGCACAGATACACACGCACACACATACATATTCTATATATTTTTGGTGGCTTTGTGGCTCACTGCTCAATGTCAATTGGCTGCCTTGTTTGCCTGCAAATTCAGGCCTTCCCTTTAAGAAGTTTGAACATTATAGAAGCTATATCTAAACCCAGGACTTTTATCACATTTCTTATACATATTCATAGCCTGAATGTGGGCATGTGTACGTGGAGGGCGTTGGTGTGTGTATGTGGGGGAGTAGTGGTGTGTATGAGCGTGCGGGTGTGTGTATGTGGGGGCGTAGTGTGTGTATGCGGATGCAGGTGTGTGTGGGGATGTAGGAAGGTGTGGGTGTGTGTATGTGCGGGTGTAGTGGTGTGTGTGTGCGGTCGGGGGTGTATGGTTTGTCATTAGTTCAGACAATGTCAAATTTCCACCCCTCCTCATGGACAGACACAGATTCTATTCGTTTCCACCTCTTTCCCCCCTCACCCCCCCTTCTCTCGCTCCACATTGGCCAGTGGCACATTGTGAAATGAGCCCGATTGGCAGATTGCCCTTTTAAAATAGCTGTTACTGGGGGGCAGTGCAGCAACCTCCCTCACACCAATAAACTCATTGAAATGGCTGCCAGTTTGCTCAAAATGGCTGTCTGACCTTGCTCCACAAATCAAAAGTGAAAGTACAATTTTGATGCGTTTGCCAATTAACCCTGCTGTTCCATTCGGGGCCGCAGTTTCCATTGATGCAGTCGGCTACTTGAACCCATCTGTCAATTAGCCTGGCCACACATTGAAAATTCTAATCATCAGGCAGTGGGTTAAGAGTGAGGCGATAGAAAGGAGCCAATTTGATGTGACCCCAAATGGTTAATGCTTATTAAAAAACAAGTTGTCTGGCTTATTGCTCGCATCCTTTCAGTGCAAAATGCATATTTCTCCCTCTCTCTCCCTCTCTGTTTTTAAATGATGGTTTTGTGGACACCATTCTGCAATATTCCCAGCAGATTCTTACCTGTTCTACAGTTTGCAATTTTCACTTGCTGCTAAAAATACGTTTGCACATTCTAAAAATACAGACTAATGTGTGAGTGAGTGTCATTCCATTATGAAATTTACACTTGGCTACAATCTCCATTTCATGTCTTTTTTAAAAACACTTTTATTGGGTAGAAATCTGCAGTGAAATCACACCAGCCACGGTCTTGAAAGTCGTGTCACTTCTTTAAAACACCTCAATGTGATCGGCACGACTTGTAAAATTGTCAAAAAGTCCGTCCCATCTGACAGATATTGAAGGAGAAGAGTGGGGGTGAGGGGGTCAGATGAGGTGGATGTTTAGTTGGACCTTAAACATTGGTACGGACTAGTTGGGCCGAATGGCCTGTTTCAGTGCTGTACGGTGCGTATAAGTCTATACTTGTTGGGGATTATAGTAACATTCTGTAGGTTTTGAAGAATGTATTGTGCAGTTAAGAAGTGCAAGCTATTGAGGAATGATGAATAAAGCTGAATGGATGTTTTTTTGTTTGTCGTGATTTTCAGGCTAATTTGTGACTACCTTTAAGCACTGTGGTTTAAGATACGCCAAGAATCCTGTAGCTTAGTGGTTAGAGCACTCACCTCGCAATTGAGAGGACCGGGTTCGATTCCCGGGCAGGGCGAAACCTTAGGCAAGTTTCCTTCCTCCTTCATAATAATTCCTTCCAAAAATTAAAAAAAATTATAATTTGGTCACTCAATCCATGACAGTTTGTGGGACACCACTGTGCACAATTGACTGCCACGTTTCACCCACAAAATATACAGTCGATTCACTTTACAGTATATTCTGTGGGACGCCACTGTGCACAATTGACTGCCACGTTTCACCCACAAAACATACAGTCGATTCACTTTACAGTATATTCTGTGAAGTGCTTTGAGACGTCTTGAAGACGTGATAAGGAGCTGTATCAAATGCAAAGATTATTATTATTAAGGATAGTTGAAGAGCTGACCCTGATGTGAATCCAGGGCCATATTGCAGGATTTGCCTTGAAATGTAAATGCATTTAAGAAGATGAAGAATATTGAATTTAACATCACGCAAACGAGTTGCAGATGCACGTGCTCCTAAACCCAAACCCGCCGATGAAAATATCGCCAATCATCCTGCAGGTGCCAGGCTCAGTTTCACGCATGTGTAATGTGAACTGACTGATTAAACCCGATGCTCTGTGAGGTTCTGTCTGCTCAATACTCTTTGAAGGAATTGGGGAATGAGGCAGGCAGCACTATAAATAGGAGTTTCTCTCTCTCTGTCTACACGGAGCAAAGTCGGCAGTAAATAATTGTATGTTTTGTAGAGGTGTTCAAATAAAAAGGTTCAGTGGGCAGTGAAAAGGGTTAATGGGCACATCAAACCAAATCCGTGTCTCAAAAATAACTTGAAATGGTCATCGTTATCCCCCCAAAAAAATCAAGGGAGGTGTGTTTTGGGGGTTTCAATTTGAAACTTAACAGCAATAATCTTAAAGTCAACTGTATCATAAATGTCCATTTTTTTTGGGTGCATGTTTTATGGCCGTTTTAAATGGCTCCAGGCTATTGAATGTTATGAAATAGTTTATGTTCTTTTTAGTAATTTACAAGAGTATTAATGACTGTAATGCAACCCTTATCTCAAGATAGATCATCAGATAATGGATTGAAGAATATGTTTTTCCAATGGTATTTGATTAAAATCTTTACGTCGATATTTAAGTCTTTGAGAGACACCCTATACTCCAAGGATTAATAGAGTTTGGAATGTGTAATTCATTCTTATGGTGATAAAAATCCTATTTTAACATTTAAAGCTTATTGATTTTTCTGGAAAATGATTTAAAGAGATAGAAGTCTTAAAAATTACATTTGAACACCATTGGAATTGCTTGGCAATGATGTTGTGTTATCAGTATGGAATATGGCATTAATGGAATAGATCACCCAGTTGAATTATTTATGTGCTCCAGATCTTCTCAACATAGGGGCTTTATCTGCACTGAGTAGATGAATGCTCATCTTTCGAATCACGAGTCGAACATTATTGCTTTCATTGTTACATCGCATGCATGGCATACCACGCACAAAAACCTAGAGCTATTTCTCACATCTGATTCATTAAGATAATATGGAAGATTAGCCATTTCGCAATAATTTTGTGTCCCTCTGTATCGCCCCCCCCCTCCCCCACACACGCAAATTTTTCACAACCACTTTACGCTGAAACCTCTTTATGTGCAAGAGAGAGGGCACTTAAAGAGATCAGCAAAAGGCAACGTTTAAATAAAAGTATAGCCGACATTAAGAAAATTGGAAATGTGTAACTAGTTTAGACACGGAGCACGAATAGCAGTCGAGGGGGAGTCTGTTGTGGAGCATTTTCCTGGAATATTCTTTGAGCAGAAAAATAATCCCACCCCCGCCTGCCCGGGAAATTCAAATAGCTTTGGATACGAGGAGGTGTAGTGGATCCTCTCTGGGGCCTTGGTTAAAATCGAACCAAGAAAGATGGGATGAAATTGCAGCCTACAAGAGCCTGATATTTGTGTTCAAAAAGTCTCAACCCTATACCAACCTTCCTCTGAATCGTCCCCTCTGGGTTAATCATCTTGCTCCCTACAGCACTTGAATATATTGCTACAACACATGCCTTAGCAAGGACAGAATCCCGGACAACATGCACCCAGTCGTCGCCCCACAGTCGTGTGGTTGAACAATTATCGTTTGCGGCATAAATAACGTTTGGCTCTCTTTAGTTTTAAGAAATATGTTGGTAATAGGCCTGCTGTCAAAGTCAGTGGACGAGTGACGAGGAAATCCAATTTCCCCTGCCCCGCAGCCATTTAATGTCTGCAGATCCATCACAAGTGGGCGTTCTGCGTTTTGTTTGTTCTCAAATTAACATCGCTTTTTGTTTTAGCAAAAACAAAAGGATCTGGTTGTAATAAACCGGGACACTGGGCGAGTTGTACTGCGGAACAACAGCAGCTAAACATTTCACAGGACAGCGTAACGGCCCCCTAAGCACGAGCCGTGCATTGATCTGCAAACCACGCTCGAGTCATTGTGAAAACATTGTGAGGACTATTTACTCAAAATCTTTTCTTCTTCTCTCCCCTTTTACAGGGCCACATAGGTACCACAGCAACCAAAAACATTGATGTCTACCTCCCCATGCAGACCAGCCATGACAAGATGCAGCCAATGACCATGGTCACGATGGCAAATGCCAGAGTTCAAGATCTGATCGGCTTAATTTGCTGGCAGTTCACGAGTGAGGGACGGGAACCCAAACTAAAGTAATTCAGTAACTTGGTTTTTATCTTGGCTTTTTTGCTATTTATTTTGCTCATCCCCCCCGACTCACACTCCCCCCACCTCCCTTTCCCGTCTTGTCTTCCATTTCTTTGCATACCATCAGTCTTTGTAAATGCACACGCAGCAGATTACAGATTGTCAGATAAAGTGTTTTCCGTTTATTGATTGGTAGCGTAGAAATCCAGACATTTTCAGCCATTCGTCTGGGTGCTATTTGCTGCCGCTGTTTTTAAATCATTGTATTTATTAATCTCACTTTCTTATCCCCTATCCATGTGGACATGGACTGGTTGGGCTGAATGACCCGATTCCGTGCGGGAAATTCAATGTCAATTCCTCAATGTTACCACCTCTCGGGTGCTTTCCAGTGTTACTGCAATTTTAAAAAATCTATTCAACGTCTCATTTCATTCTGAAGTACATAAGGAGGGATTTGTGATTTGGTTCAGGTGTGAAATACCTTTGTTTTCCTGCTTACTGTCAGCAAACGTATCAGTTTATCGGAAATCTCTTTTCTGACCTATTGCACCCCCACTTCTCCCTCCCCTTCCCAGTTCAGTGTAATTTCTCCAAATGCTTCTGTGCTTCTAACACAAGTCAAACTCGCTGAGAACCTTTCCTGTGTTTGTAGCCCTGGTAGCCTAGGTAGCCACTGCTGGCAGGACAGGACCTCAGTCCCTGAGCTGTCCTAACACTGGATAAACTCCCAGTCAGCATCGGGGATTCCATCTGCCGCAGGGGACATCTTTCTAGCGAGCTGAGGCTAGCAATCGCTCTCTCTGCTTCACAGTTACGTGCCCTGGGGATTCTTACTGAACAGTTGCTAAAGTAGAAGTGCATTGTCTACTATTTCCTCCACTATTTCATGATTGCTGATCCATTGGGTAGTGTAGACATCCCACAGTGTGTAGAGGTCTCCTGGTGGGTAGGTTGGGGAAGGCAGCAATTTCATACGTCATATGTTGAACGATGTACTTTATGATGGGCTCAGTCGAATAAACCTGGCATTGTGGCAATTGGTATTTAAATTCTACTTTAAAATTGATTTATAATCTGCATTGACTCCATTGATTTGAATTTCTTTGTACGCACTTGTATAGAACTTCTATCTCAGAATGCCGCTAATTGCATTAAAAAAGCACCCCGCATTGATTTTGGTGATGTATGGAACAGTTTTTTTTCATGTATTTGTAAATCCTCTGATTAGATTCTGTTTGTCTGCCAATAATTGATTGTACTCAACATTAGGTAACATTAGGTTACAGAGAGAGAAAAGTATGATTGATGGCACTCTACTTCCTGCTCCAAAGGCCATTGCAGCAGCAACAACAACAAATTATATTTGTAAAGCGCCTTTCACGTCGGGAGGACATCCCAAGCCGCTGGAATGGCCTGGCAGGCAGGGGGTGGGGGGGGCAGGCAGGCAGTGGGGGCAGAAAGGCGGTAGGGGCCAGGCATTCGGGGACTTGAAGCAAGCCTGGCCTCGGAGGTGGAGATGTAAAGGGTGGTAATGAACCAATGAGTTCTCTTCAATACCTCTGGTTGCATCTGTCAATCCAAATGTTCTTACATTGGGCGAAGCTTCCAGAGACTCTGGCCCCCCAGATCCTCGATCACAATGATGGGAAGGTTCTCTATAAATATGTACACGTGCTTCTCTCACTAGCCGGCCTCCTGCCTCTCTGTAGCCTACATTTACCGCTGACCATTGCTCTCGGCTTCCCTCTGGTTTACCCTCCACATTGTTCAGGGCTTAGCTTTGATGAGCATGCGTACAATTAGCATCAAAATGAATAATTCAAACACTGTTCCCGTCTGTACAACTGTGTGCAGTGTAAGGAGGGGGTACCCAGCAGCTTAGTCGACTTCTGTTGTTTAGAATAGAACGCGTTTTGGGTATTTGTCTGTTTATATTGACATGGAGAAAGTGGTATGAGTGGAAGCTGATACCTTCTTCTTGCCACCTTCAAAGCCCTCCACGGCCTTGTTCCTCCCTACCTCTGTGACTTGCTAACACCATATCGACCTGCTCACTCCCTCCGCTCAGCAGGCTCCACCTATCTCCCACCCAGCCCGCCCCACCATCGGCGGTCGGGCCTTCAGCCTCTCTGGCTCACCCTTTAGAACTCGACCCTACAGACCCTTTGTCTTGCCCCCCTCCCTTGTCTTCTTCAAGACCCATCTCAAGACCCTCCTCTTGGATTCGGTCACTCTCCGCTCCCTGCCCTCCACCCCTCTTGATCCCAACCTCAACTTGGGTCCAAATCCCCGACTGTTGAGACGTCTTCCTGACATGAAAGACGCTGTGTAAATTGTTATTTGTTGTTGTTAAAGAAGATGGGAAAGATACAATATGAGGAAGTCATCCCTTAGGCTTTGGTAGTAGTGTTGAAACCAGTACGGATACAACAAGTGAGAGGTATAGGAACCAGGGTTAAGCATTGGTGGTTAATAGATTTCCTAGAGAATAAGGTGTTATATTTTCCTTGTGGGTGAAATTGAGACTTAGCCGTTTGTGTTTTTATTTGTTTATTTTCAGTAAAACTACAACTTTATTGCTTTTTCTATCAGATCAGAGCCATATTTGCCTCTGCTAACCGCAGTCGGTCGAGCCCAGCTTTAAATGTTATTGATTCCTGGATCGTCCCAAAATAAATCCTGAGATCCAATTATATACCTGCTCGCTGGAATCATTGATCGTGCGGGAATCCCAAATAATTATTTGAAATGGGAAATTCTGCAGTGATGAACTTACTCTTTTAGTTCCAGGAGCCAGAGTATAACTAACCGTGGGGGGGAAGTGTACCATCGCTGGCTGAATGACCTAACAATGAAGTAGTTCGGCCTCCTTCAGCAGCACCAGTATCTGGATATGTGTCGTACTATTTATTTTGCAGCATTTGCCACTTTTAATTGCAGGTTTTGCTGCAATGAACATAAAAGTGAGTGGCAGGGAAACAAGCAAAAACTGAAACCAAAGATATTGCGCTGTCTGTCACCTGTGCCGTAAAGCATGAACGTATTAAACTCCCGACTCCCATTGCCAAGAGATACTAACAGACTTACTTAATGCCAACGCTCGTCATGTCTGGGTCAAGTTAAAATTGACTCAAATGAAGAGGTGGTCACCAGTGAAAATGCACAGGTCTACCAGGTTAGTTGGAGGTTCCAAGGAAGTCTTGAGTCATGTCAAGTTGCTGATTGTAATCATTCCTTGTCTGTGGCTGTGTGGGCACAGGCTCTGATACGACTGGATAGAATGAAGCCGAGGGGAGGTCGGATGGTGTAGCCTTTTGCAGGGAGCTGAGGTGATGCTGTCCCTGTTGCGAACTGCAGTCAGTTTTTTGGTGAATAGAACTGGTTGCGTTAAACCAATTTAGGTGAAAGTGTATTTTCTAAATGTAATACTTGGTTGTCTATTGATACTGGAGTTCGACTTTGTTGTAGATGTTGTGGTTCTGACTTTTTTTTCCTATAAACACACTGTTCTCATGATGAGCTCTCCCCGCCTGTTTGTGGGATACTGCTGTGCGCAATTGGCTGCCGCGTTTTGCCCACAAAATATACAGTCAATGCACTTTACAGTATATCCTGTGAAGCGCTTTGAGACGTCTCGAGACGTGATATGGCGCTATATTAAATGCAAGGATTATTATTAAATGAGCTTCAAGTCAATAATAGTAATCCTTGCATTTTTAAGTCAAGTGAGTAAAAGATATAAGGGACCGGAACAAAGTAAGCATAGTTTCTCATCCCCTGCAACCCAGACCTCAGTTACCTGTTCCCATCGATTTTAAGAGTTGATTCAGTCTATTTACAGATGTGCAGGAGAATGAGTTCATCGCGAACTTAGCTGTCACTACAGGATATATAGTGTTGCATTCATCACATTGTGGACTTTTTGCTGCAGTTTCTCAATATTTCACAGCTGCCCTTAGGGGTTTTCTGTAAATTTACATAGCCTCCCACTAAAACATTTACCGAGTCCCCTTGCAGGACAAGCTTCTACACATGTACCCCAGGCAGGGCAGGGTAGCATTGCGTCACGCGCAAATGATGTTCTGAGTCTGGCTGCGATTTGTCAACCAGTCGACTCTCCCGCTTTACGAAGACTTGGGCACGGTGAGGTTCTGGCACATTGTTAATGGTCCATCAAGTGCCCACTACACCAAAAAGCTTTTACTCGTGGGTCAGAATATCTGGGTCACATACAACCCACTGCCCGTTAACGTCCTTCAGTCCCTCCAGCACAAGGACTCTGAGACCCTGAGAAGGAGTTAGGAAAGAAAAAGAAGCTTGCAATTTTATATTGCGGCTCAAAGCGCCACACAAGCCGTCATCACTGCTTAAGGGCGGTGACTCATTGTCGGCAAACATAACAACAACTTACATTCATATAGCGCCCCTCATGCAGCGCAGCGTTTCTGAGCGTTTGACAGTAGCGGAGCATGATGCTGAGTCAGGGGGTGGGGGGGGTGACTGTAGCCACGGTCGAAGAGGAAGAAGGTCTTCAGGCACGATCTGAAGATGGGCATGAAGTGGGCAAGGCAGAGGGATCGAGGAAAAGTGTTCCAGAGTTTAGGGTGTAGTGGCTGAAAGCATGGTTTTGCTCAGTGCAGTGTCCCAAGGCCATCAGGTGAATGTAAGCATTAATGTGGAGGATTAGTGCTTACATAGATGCATTTGTTGACTGTGAATACTTTGGACCGCAAAATGCTAATTTTAGCTAGACAGATTTACACAGCATAGTTATTAAATGTTTTATTGTTTTTTTAAAAAAAGGCAACACTGGAACGAAAACAGAAGTCGCTGGGACACAGCAGGTCAGGCAGCATCTATGGAGAGAGGAAAGTGAGTCAATGTTTCGTCAGAACTGGGGCATGTTGGGAGGGAGAGGCTTTTAAGAGTTAACAGGAGGAGGGAGGCAGGGCAAGGAAGACAAAAGAGAAAATGGGGCAGAGGACAGGGGATGATGGGTTAA